TGAGAAAGAACCTGTAAGTGGTTCATAGTTTGAATTCGAATTCAACTGCTTCTTTTCTGTGAATTCTTGATCCTCGTCATTCCATAATCTGAACTTGATAATCTATTTCTAGACCGTTGTGATTCGCTCGGTTTCTTCTTTTCTTCATTTCTGAGTTGTAGATCACTACGGACTGATTTGATAGCATTTCTATGATGAACTTCTAATTTGAATTGTTTTGAGCTTCAGCACATGAAGTTTGGAAAATCACAACTTATTTATATGAATTAGTCACGTGTGTTCCATTTTGACGTAAAACGAATACCGGAGCGGCTGTGCTTTCCCAAAGTGAACATGATTGGNAGAAGTGCACACATGTAAAGAACATGGAAAAGACACTTCGTGTGAAAGGTCAGCAGACGTGTTAAACCAAGCTGACTCTTATGTTTCAGTAAGGAAGAAGAGCTTTACAAGAAAAAAGATGTTGTGAATACAACACGCAAGCTGAATCGTGCTCTGATTAGCTTGAGAGCGTATGTTGAATGTTATTCTTCATATAATATATAATTTCATATAGAATGAAAGGAAACGAAGTTGTGAACGATGTATTAGAGAAGCTCCAAGAAATTAATAATAATCTAATGGAAGCTATAAAAACGACAGGTAGTTTTTGATTTCAAATTCGGTTCATCTCGTTTGCTTCCAGAATCAGAATTCTCGACTGCAACAGTTGATTTACCTAGTTTCGATAATGTCGATATGGAGTTATTACTGGGAAAAGATGAGGTTTGGAAATTTTATAGAAGATTTTTGAACTTTGTGTTGAAAATAGTTTTATGTTTTCTGCGTTTAGTGCCCACAGTCGGAATCGATGTTAACGAAAGTGGCGAACAGTATGAAAGCGCAGAAAGAAAGAGTGGCTCAACTGTTGGCAGAAGCAGATATAATGTTATTGGAATATGATCACATAAAGAAAGGAACAATCGCGTGAACTATCTAATCGCACCAAGTTTTTTGACTTTTTTCTCCGAGAAGTAAAATAAAATATTTATAAGATTATGCAGAATCATAATATCCATTCGATCATGGTTATCATCCTTAGAACTTCTATTCGAATCGTAGTACGTATAAGACGGAGATCATCCTCGTTGCTTCTCTCTCGAATGAACACTAATGCCACCTCTATGACTCAACTGACAACATGTCTGAATATAGACACACATAGAGTTCGGGAAGTAACAACTCCTGTGGACACCGCTCACTCGAATAATTTAATGAAGAATGAAATCAACCACTTTCATTTCTCATTTGTGAATTTCTGCTCCTCCGGTGGTTCACTCATGTTTCATTCCGCATGTTTATAAAGTAGTTACAACTGTCTTTCGACATGTAAGTACTCTGGGAAATCTCTATATGTCTCGAACGATTTGGTTGGTTGTTGTTTAAACGTTTTTTACCAGATAACGCGCGCCAATCAAAAATCTTTTCGTGTTTGAATGACCATTGAAGGCTCTAGAGAACTCCCTAGTTCCTGGTTGTTCTTCCGTTGTTTATTAATTCTCTAACCTCGCGTTTC